TGGAAATCACTGTTGATCTGTGTTCAAATTCACTTTTTATTTTCAACTTACTGTTAAGTGATCAACTATCAGTCCTAAAGGAAATCAACCCTGAATGTTTATTGGAAGGACTGATGCTGAAGCTCCAGTTCTTTAGCCACCTGATATGAAGAGCTGACTCACTGGAAAAGACCCTGATGGTTGAGGGCAGCAGGAGAAGAGGGTGACAGAAGATGAGATGGATAGCATGGTTGAATAGCATCACCAACTTAATGGACCTGAGTTTAAGCAAACTGGGAGATACTGAAGGACAGGGAAGCCTGGCGTGTTGCAGTCATGGGGTCGCAAAGAATCGGACACATCTTAGCAACTGAACAACAGCAACTGTTAAGTGCATCCAGTGAAATTTTTAAAAGATATTTTTCAGTTTTAGAAGGTCTATTTGATTGTTCATAGTTTTGCTTTTTTCTTTGCTGGAATTTATTTTTTCATTTATTAGTGTGTTTTTCCTTTCATCTTTGAGCACAGTTATAATAGTTATTTTAAGATCTTTGCTAATTCTAACTTCTAGGTCATCTTGGGGTTGGTCTTTCATTGGTTGACTTTTTCCATAGTCAGGGTCACACGTTCTTGTTTTTCTATGTGTCTAGTAATTTTGGATTGTGTTTTAGTCTTTATGATTGTTTTTGTTCTCATGGAACTCAAACCCCAAGTTTCCATAACTTCTGTGGACATCAGCAGCAGACATTTCTGCTTAGTCCTTTTATCCATAATTGGGCTGCTTGCAGTCAGCCCCACACAAATGCAGTTGAGGGATTGTTTAAACATCTGAGTTGAATTTATGCACAAGGTTCAGTTCTAGACTATCCTCCAGTTTGTTATTTCCTTTGCCTTCAATTTGTTTTTATATTTTTTTCAGTTGTTTAGATACTAAGTCGTGTCCAACTCTTGTGATCCCATGGACTATAGCCTGCCAGGCTCCTCTGTCTCTAGGATTTCCCAGGCAAGAATACTAGAGTAGATTACCCTTTCCTTTTCCAGGAGATTTCTGACCCAGAGATTGAACCCATGTATCCTGCATTGGCAGGTGGCTTCTTTACCGCTGCCACCAGGAAGGCCCATTTTGTCCAGAGTTAAATGCAGGAGGGTTTGGCCTGATAGGAGCTACTCTTCCATTTACCAGAAAATGTGACTGATTTAAATTCTTTGAGGACAGTGACCATATTTTAATTCATTCTTTTCTCTGTAAAATCTTGCACACTGAATATGCCCAATAGAGGCTTATTAATGGAAGGATGAATAAAGTTATCACTTTCTAAGAACTGTTAATGAATCTAGCTCTTCTAGCAAGTTAAGAGAAAAGGATGGCTTATTTGCTATCCATACATCTTCCATGTGTCTTCTTTGATGTAATACCTGTTTAAATCTTTTGCCCATTTTTTAATTGGGTTGTTTGTTCTCTTATTTTTATTAAAGAATTTTAAGTGTATCTTGGACACAAATCCTGTATCTGACATGATTTGCAGATATTTTCCTCCTATCTATAGTTTGTTTTTTCTTTCTCTTTATAAGTATCTTTTGTAGAACGTTTTTATTGCTGATGTCAAATTTTTAGACATAAGTTTTTCTTTTGTGGACCCTGCTTTTGATGTTGATCTAAAAACTCACTACCAAATTCAGGGTCACATAGCTTTGCTGTTTTCCTAGAAGTTTGATAATGTTAAGTGTTGCATTTAGGTGTATGATCCATTTTGAGTTAATTTTTATATCATGGTGTGTGTTGACGTTCATGTTTTTGCATATGGACTTCGAGTTGTTCAAGTACCATTTGATGAAACAATTGAAGAACTTTTCTAATAGCTAACTTTTGAATGCTTGCCTACCCAGACTTTTGTTTTACGTTACCTAATTCACTTTTCACAGCATGCCATGTGGAAGCTGCTGCTGCTGCTGTTTTTCCATGCGGAAATTGAGAAAAAATAATTTAGATTAGTTGTTTAGAGTTACAGAACTACTGGCTGTCAGAACTGTAATTTGAATCCAGTTCTCTCCCTTTCTAAGCCACATTGAGGAGAAGTCAAGAATTAAAATATGAGATTCATATGGTCAGAGTACAACTTAGAAAAATGGCAGCTTACTACATTTTTGAGGTTAGATTGTAGGGTGGGAAGATAGAAGATTGCAAGAGATGGTGGTGGTCTGACCAACCAGACAACTGAAAATTAGATTTAAGTAAGGTAGGAGGTTGACTTTGATGATTGGATATTGGTATAAGAAAGGAAAGAACTAATTTGTAAGTGTAGAATACAGAAGAGTAAGATTGGAATTTCCTATGCTACCTCCTGGGAATGGGAGAAAGGAAAGACTTGGAAATACTGAAGAGGAGAGAGATTTGGTTTATAAATACAAACTGGGAGTGAGGTCCTGTGGATATACCATTTAAGTATCAAAGCACTTAGAGTGGATGAGATTGCTTGGGCTAAAGGTTAGAATTCTGAGGAACACTGACATTTCTGAGTTGAGTAGACATATAGGAGTTTGTGAAGAAGCCTGAGAAGAAGTAACTAAACACATAAGAAAGTAAAAAGAATTGTAAGAGAATGCCTAACAACAGAACAGCATTATAAGAAGAGAGGAAGTGCTTTGTAATATCAAATACTATGGAATTGTAAAGCGAGAGAACTGACTGGGAAAAATACTAAATAGGATTACATTGTAAGGCTTCAAAGTTTGAAGGCTGTGAGTTTGTAGTGGCTTCAGTTTTGAATGGTTTTCTCCAGCAGTACTTAACATTAGGAGGCAAAGAGACTATGACTTAAGAACACATTGTCACATGAAAGGTAAAAAGCAGTTTAAACTGTTAGAAATGGAAAAAGAAAAATATGCTGTAGTTTAGTTTGAGAAGAAGGGAAAAGAATTATTCTTTTAAGTTATGGTTGATTTACATTATTAGTTTCAGGTGTACAGCATAGTGATTGATTATTTTTATAAATTCTGCTCGGTTGAAAGTTCTTACAGGTAATGACTGCCTGCCTGTGCTGCGCAGTGTGTCCTGTTGCTTCCCATTTCATGCACAGTAGTTTGTACCTCTTACTCTCACACCCCTGATCTGCACTCCCCTTCCTTTGGCGACCAGTAGCTTGTTTTTTCTATCTGTGAGATTGTTTCTGCCTTGCATGTATATTCATTTGTATTATTTTTTAGATTTCACATATAAGTGATATCATACAATACTTTCTGTGACTTATTTCACTAAGCATAATACTCTCTGGGTTCATCCACATTGCTGCAAATGGCAGAATTTTGTTCTTTTTATTATTGAGTAATGTTCCATTGTCTGTAAACACCACGTTTTTATTTCATTTGTCTGTTAATAGGCATTTGGGTTGCTTCCATGTTTTGGCCATTGTAAGTAGTGCTTCTGTGAACATTGGGATACATGTATCTTTTTGAATTGATATTTTCCAGTTAGATACCCAGGAGTGAAATTGCTGGATCATATGGTGGTTCTATTTTTAGTGTTTTGAGGAACCAACATACTGTTTGCATAGTGGCGGCTGTACCAGTCTACGTTTCCACCAACAGTGTACAAGGCTTCACTTTTCTCCACATCCTCTCCAACATTTGTTGTTTGTAGATTTTTTGATGACAGCCATTCTGATAATTGTGAGGTGGTATCTCATTTTGATTTGCATTTTTCTAATAATTGGTGGTATTGAGAATCTTTTCACTTGCCTGTTAGCCATCTGTATTTCTTCTTTGGAAAAATGTCTGTTCAGATCCTCTGCCCATTATCTGATTTGAGGTGTGAGTTTGTTTGTTTGTTTGTTTGTTTTGCAGGTGGTGGGTTTTGGTGTTTTTTTAATGTGTGGTGTATGAGCTGTTTGTTTTGGATATTAACCCCTCATATTATTTGCATCATTAGTCATATTATTTGCAAATATTTTTCTCCCATTCTATTGGTTGTCTTTTCAGTTTGTCGATTTTCCTGTACAAAAAGCTTTTAATTAGATTCCATTTGTTTATTTCTGCACTTATTTTGTCTTAGGAGACAGATCCAAAAAATACTGCTGTGATTTATGTCAGAGTGTTCTGCCAATGTTCTCTTCCAAGAGTTTTGTGGTTTCTTATATTTAGGTCTTTAATCCATTTTTAGCTCATTTCTTATGTGATGTGAGATAATATTCTAACCTCATTGTTTTATGTGTTAACTGTCCAGTTTTCCCAGCTTCTTAAAGAGACTGTCTTTCCATTGTATACTCTTGCCTCCTTTGTTGTAGATTAATTGGCTCTAAGTGCATGGGTTTATTTCTGGGCTCTTTATTCTGGTCCATTGATCTCTGTGTTTATTTTTGTGCCATTTCCATGCTCTCTTGCTAGTTGTAGGGAAAGGAATTGTTTTTAAGGGAACCTTTGAATATTAAAAAATATCAAAGCTGATTAATTTTTTTATCATTGGTATAAGATCTACAAATAATAAAATTCTGAGAAAATTTGAGAACTGAAAAAAGTAGTACAAAGTAATAATTTTATAGTAGGAACTACAACATTTTTTTAAAAAGAAGATAACTGTTGGGACTTCCCTGATAGTGCAGGGAAGATTCTGGGCTGGTTAAGATTCTCTGCTTCCACTGCAGGGGGTCTGGGTTCAATCCCTGATCTGGAAACTAAGATCCCACATGCCTCATGTCACAGCCACACACAAAAAAGATAACTGTATTGTAGTACTTGAGCTCACTTTTTCTGTTCGTTACTTCCCATGTATTCCTTTGCTCAAGAAACTAGTAGCGATTTCTTTTGGCACACAGAATAATCCAAGAACCCTTGAACCTCCTGGTTTTCCCACAGATTTTAGTGTTGATTGCTATGGTACTCTATCTAGGAAACCTATCTTTATATAGAAACGGATTCTTGTCCATCTCAGCTCATACTGTAACATCAGTAATAGCAGAATGTAATATAAAAATAGTTGATGCAGTCTAAGATTTTCTTTTTCTAATTTTGTTTTTGTTATTCAACAGGTTTGATCTGTGGATGAAATGAATCATGATTTTCAAGCTCTTGCATTAGAATCTCGGGGAATGGGAGAGGTAAATATTTATGAATACTAAGGATGTGTATCTCACTTTGTCTTTGAGCCACTGAAACTTGTTTATTAACTGTAAATCTTTTTAAAATAGTGGTGATATCTTCCAAATGATGTGGGCTTTTAAAATCTATAGTTGTGGAAATCTCAGCCTTTTTTTTTTTTTTTAACTTTTAGTAGTAATGTTAGTGGGATTATTGTGTCTAGTTGATTTGATTGACCTGGTTAGATAATGTCATATTTTGGTAATGGACCATAATAACTTTGATCAGAAAAGACCTCTCCTTGATCTTTGTCCTGCTGTTTTATATATGTATGCTATGTTTGCTTTAGCCACACTTAATTGTTCACTATCCTCTCACAAAAATTTCTCCTTGTTCATTGTTTGCTTAATAAACTTCTAATCCTCTGCAGGACTCTACTGAAAAAAGGCTCTTTATCTGTTTGCTATTTGCAGTAAAGTTAATTACTTCATCTGACTTCTCGTGGATCTTCATACATACTTTTATTATAATACTGGTTACAGTTTATTCATTTTATATTAGTCTCCTCTGTAGATTGTTAGCTTTGAATGACTAGCACACAGTGAGCACTCCTAATACTTTGGATTTTATCAGTCCTGTTTTATGATTTTCATTGGGGCATCCCATTTAACCTCATCATTACATGATTTAAGGCATCAAAAATACTTAGTTTTCCATATGCCTAAATGAATATTTAGAAGACTTTAATTCAATTAGACTATGAAAACCCTTGTGGTCACATTTTGATTTGTCATGTTCTGTAATACTAACATAGTGTGGACTTTGATAATAGAAAATAACCATGAACAGACCTAAGATGTGTAATTAACTGCTTGCTCCTGGAGATTATTTTACTTTGGTAGACCTTCATGAGACTCACTCCATCCAATGCTGTGCTCTTCAGATGCAGAAAAAGAGTCCAGTCACTCCTCTGGGCCACAAGAGGGCACCCTGCAGCTAGCTAACCCTCCCCTTCTTCAGAACAGCGTTTTCCAAAGAGTTTGTCATTTTCAGAGGACTGATTTAAGGGTGAGTTAAGGTGCTTAAGCATAAGTGTTGCCAAAGTAAACTTGTTAGTCCAGTGCTTAAGGTAAAACTCTGGGCCCTAAGAAAATTTGAGAGAGGGAATAACTTTTTAGTTAAAAGAAGACCTTGCAGCCTCCCTGCAGTGCAGTGGCTGCTTAGGCATTGTTTACACTCTGGGTGAACAAAAAGAAACAGTTCAAAGGGCTTTTGTTTTTTTCCTTGTTACTTGTTTTCTTTGGTCTTTAGAAAGTAGGATAACATATTTTAAAAGCAAGTTTGAACAGTGTTTCAGCTTAGTCTGTAACAGACTTGAACTTACTTTTTTTTTAATACCAAATATAGTCACACCCTTACCTGTTCTGTTTAGACCCCACAACACTTTACTTTCCACATCTACGTTGAGTGTGTATTTACAAATTGACTTTTTTCCTCCCTTTCTAAGTAGTAGTTGATAAATCCAAAGACATCTTTGCAGTTTTAAAAAGGGTGTCATGATCAGAAGTAGTACAGAGAGTTTAGTTATTTGGGGGGTAAGAGGAGGGGTATTTGAGGTTTCTGGGGAAGAGACTGGGTTTTAAAATTATATAAAGCTTAAATCCAGGCTTTTCTTAGTGGAAATGTCAGATATACAGAGTAAAAGTGGTTAGGGTTAGGCTGTCTGGTTTTTTGGCAGGTAGTTAGAAGGTCATGCTTCTGTGACCATCTGGTAAAAATGTATTTTTTTTAATAAGCTGTATTCACTAATTAAGTTTTTTTTCTTAACAGTTTACCAGCTAATTCTGTTACTCTAAGAGATAGTGAGAAACCTTTTGAGGTTTTTGTCTCTGGGTTCCCTCTCCCACAAGCCTTTCTATCTTTCCTCATCTCACAGGCAGCAGGGAACCTTCTGGGATTTCCTTCTTTGCCTGTCTCTGTCTCACCAGTCTTCTCCTTTCCTGACAGGTGAGGCTTGTTGTTTTATCCCAGAATTCATTCATTTTAATAAACTAAAAGCAGGCTTGAGTTTTCTAGAATTGCTTATTTATTTTTTCAATGCAAAATCCTTTTCTAATATATTGCCCTATCTTGACCTTTTTTTTTTTAATAAAGCTTTACTTATTTATTATGTCTTAAGTTGTAAATCTAATGTACAAAGCACTGCATTGCATATAGGGTTATTTTCAAATGTACTGGGTTATGTAGATCATGATAGCTTTTACTGACTCATCATCAGAAGGACAGTTTCTTCTGGTTGTTCATCCAAAATAGGAATAGATTTGTAATCATCCATTCATAAACTCATTCTTTCCAATTTATTCCATAGCACATTTTTGCCAGAAGGCCTACCCGTTTGTATTATGTCTCGTGGCTTAAAAAGAGCAAACCTAACCCATAGGAGGTTGAACTCATTTTCGTTAGCATGTTGTTTTAAAACTATACTACAGAGACACATACCTACCTATTTTTATATATAAAAATTAACAGGAATTCTGTGTGTGGGTGCATATATATACATACACTTTTAAATAAGAAAAAGAGGCTCCTGCTTGAAATTCTTTAGGGAACCCAAAATTTAACTTTAAATCATTGAGTTAATGTGTTTTGGGGGAGTATTTCATACCTTAGTATGGTAAAGCGCTCTCCTTTCTTTTCTGACACAGTAATATTTAAAGAAAACATTAAGGAAAATTTGTGTAGTAAGATCCCAGGTAGTGTGGTGAAGTAGAAAACATATTGGAGAGAAGGTTAAGGAGACTTCTATTTTCTCTCAAGTCTATCACTAGTGCTATATGACCTTGAAAAAGATTGACTCTTTGAAGGTAGCAATAAGAATAGCATTTGTATCAGTCACACACATCTCTCAGATGCTCTGATCTGAGATGCTGGGGATAACTGGAGTGGAAACCAGCTGATTAGAGTTCTGTCTGTAAATTCCTGTCTTAGCCATTCTGTCTGAAACTTTATCCACTCTAATGAATACCCACATTACATGGTCTGAATATCATGATAGCATCTTAAGCTTCTATTTTTTTCATTATGGTTATTTGTGGCCTAATAACTGGATATTTTTAGAAATACTGATAAATTAGACTACTGTTGGAAAGAAACATCTTCTGTGGTAGTTAAGTGTAAAGAATATGGGCTTTGTAATTAAGCAGTTAGGTATTCAACTCCTAATGCTGCCTAACTAGCTATACATGTATGTAATATTATATGTAATCTTGGACAGTTTACTTAACCTCTAATTCTGTGTCCTTATGCAAAATATAACTATTAGGCAACTGTTTTTTATAAGTGTAGTTTCATGGTCCCCCTAGGATACTCTTAAGATTCATATTTTTGGTCGTGAAGATATTTACTGCTTATTTTGGCATATGCTCGATGCTGTTCTAAATAGTTTATTTATGTTCTTGTATTCTAACCTCATAGAAACTCTAAAACAGTAGCTTTATTATTATCCTTACTTTTCAGATGAAGAAACTGAGGCTGAGTTAATTATCTGGCCCAGTACAATAGTGCTTGAACAACAGATTGAACTCTTGAGTGCCTTGACTGTTGGTTCCCATTGGAAGTGATGACATCTAATAATATTTGCTGTGATATTAAGAGGTATTGAGAATGTAAAAGATTTGAGAGTAGTGTGATTTGAAAACATTAAGTATTGATATCTTTTATTAACAGAGAGGGCTAAAGTCTGGAAAAGCACCATTCTGCAGTTCTAGAGAACTCCCTTGTGGTTTTTGTTTTTGACTTGCCTAATTGTTAACATCTGTACCTTTTATTAACTTCTATTGTAAATAGAGTCACCTTATATCCCGATTTGTTCAGACAGTCCAGATACATGTTATCATGGCGTAATTGTTATTAGTCCTCTCTTTCTCAAAACTGTCCCAGTTTGGATGTTATATATTTATTATATATATATAGAGTCTTCAAGTTCTCTTAATTCTTAGAATTATGTTAATTTTTTTGGTTTGGTGATTTTACTTGACAATTTGTATTAGAAAAATCTAAAGTGTAAGTGTAACTCATAAATTGTAGCAAGAATTTTATTTATTATTTATTTTGAAGTAGTATAGCAGTATACTGGAGTGTTGACTGACTTCTTTGGAGATGAAAAGGGCAAGGCATAAGTGCTTCTTTAAAGAAAGAACTAATGAAATGGTGGATAGTGGGGATTTGAATCTGTATGTTCACCTAATCATTTCTGAGTTGGAAGGACAGAGGAGTATGTTCTTGACAAGAAATGCCTTGGTTTGACCTTGGTTTAGAGCTTTTGAGAATTAGGGAAGTAATATGAAGCAGTATTGGACAATGTATTTTACAGATCTTCAAGATCTCTTAGCGTTTCTTTTCTGTAATGTGCTTTTCCATTTCTGCTACAGTAAAAGAGTCTCCAGGGGCAAAACACTATTTTTATTGCTATTCCAACCACTGTACCTGTTAATCTTTTTTTTAAGCTGTTCTATTTACTGCCTTCCCCTATATTTAGTCCATTTTAACGTAATTTCTTGGCTAGTAGTTTCTCTAAAAATATTTGAAATCAGTGTCTACATTGTCACAGCTGTCTCTGGAATGGTGATAAAGGCCTTTGTTAGGAGAACTGTTAATTTTATTAACTACTAAATTGTTTGTCCATGATAATTTACAAGTGCTTGCAAAATGAAGAGAGAGTCATAGCACAGTGCTTGGCAGAAAGTAGGTGCACTGGATAAGTCCTTGGCATAGACTCCCCTCCAGGTTTTATAGTTTGGGTGTCAAAGCAGTGATCTGTGAACTATTGTAGCACTACATGGAATCTTACCTCAAAAGACTGGAATAGTGTCCTCAGGAAGATTCTTATTTCTACTACCTCACAGGATGAGATTAGTTTGTTTTAGCCACTTCTGTGTCTAATAAATGCTTCTATTAATTTATGATGACTTCATTTTTGATTACTTATTTGTTATCCTTAGTTTGATATTAAAACACTTATCTTTATGAAGTATAGGATAAAAGTCTTACTCTTTCGAGAACCATTTTCTTCTGCCTGAAATGGCTTATTTATACAGTACTTTAAAGGGATTAACTTGGGTTTCACTGTGAATAATTGTTCAATAAGTCTATCAAGAGCAGTGTTTTAGTATTATCATCTTTACATTTTGTTTGAATATTTGCATGAAACTTTATAGTGAGATTTTTTTAAAAAATCAGAACAACCAAGGTTGTATTTCACTGGAATCTTTGTTAGTATAGATTATTGTTTAAAATGCCTGTACTTCAGGGAATTCCCTGGTGATCCAGTGTGTAGGGCTCTTACCTGACCTCGGTAGGGTTCAATCCCTGGTCAGGGAACTAGTATTCCACAAGCCATGTAGTTGTGGCCAAAATAAATCAACAAAATCTCTTTTAAAATAATAATAGAAATAAATAAAATGTCTGTACTTTAAATACAAATCATTTGCAGCTCAGGAAGATCCTAACATGCAAAAAAAAATTTTTTTTAAATAGAGAACTTAGTTTCCTTTAAAATTAACAGTATTTAGTTTAGCAAAAGATCCATAGATTAGGCATATGCCCAAATTGAATCCACCCCACTCCCCTCAAAAGCTGCTTATCCTGTTTTTGTGTTTGTTTTGGTTGGTAGCACTATCATTTACCTTGTTACCCAGATTGTAAAGTTTTATTCTTTTTAATCAGCCTCTTATTTTTGTATGTATCCTGTTGACTCTCCTGAATGTCTCTGAAATCCATTTTATTTTCTCAGTTCTTTCTGTCAGTGCCCTGTTTCAGTTCTTGTCATGTTGACTCTGTTGTAATTCTCCTGAATGATTTCCTTGCCTCTGGTCTAGAATATCCATTATTCTTAGAACTTTGAGGTTCCTCATAATCTGCCTAGATAGCTCTCACAGCATCAGCTCCCACATTTGTTCCTCCGTCTCACACCCTGTTGTACAAACTATGCGTTTTCTCAAGTTGTGCCTTTGTTCATCACTTCTTGTGTCCTCCCCACCTTCCATTCACACTTTAAACCCCTGACACACACATAGTCTTATCTCTCAAGACCCCATATAAGTTTCACTAAGTTCATTTTATTATAGGTGTTATGTATTTGTGAGCTCTCTGAAGATAAGGTCACCATGCCCTTAAGGAGGCAAATACAGGTAATTTAGTATTTTAAGTGTAGCAATAGAAGTATGTACAAGCTTAATTATGAGGACCTAATTATGGGCATGGGTTTGAGTAAACTCTGGGAGTTGGTGATGGACAGGGAGGCCTGGCATGCTGTGATTCATGGGGTCGCAAAGAGTCAGACACGACTGAGCGACTGAACTGACTGAACTGAATTATGGGCTGAGAGGGATGAGTGTCTTACACATGCTTACTTAAATGTCACATACATTGTTTAGAAAACCAGTCTGTTCTTTTCAAACAAACATACCCTCAGTCTGGTTCTTCTGAGTGTCAGGAAAGGTAGACAGGAGAGACCTGGATGAACACTAAAGTCTCACTAGGAATTGACCAAATGTACATTTTTATTAATCATCAAATGGTTATACCAACACAATTTTTATATTCTTGTGTGTGTTACAACATAGGATTGGACACAGGGCTTTGAGATTATCTCAAAAAGTATTTAAGGTTTTTCTTAATGTATCTCTTCCACCATCCTGCTTCCTGCTTTAGAATTAGATCGCTACTGTTGAGAACATAGGAAGAATTGCGAAGTTCACTTCCATTGAATTGTTAAATAAGAAGAATTGTCTGTCATTGAAGCTGTAGGATAGGAGATATTCCAAGAGCAGTACTTGGAAGTAAAGAGAAAGGTTTAATCATTTGTATAAATATTTTTATAATCTGTTTTAAATTTAGTAGGTCTTTTGAAAGAATTCATTAAAAATACCACATGACAGTAAAACCATTTGAAAAATGCAGAAGTATGAAGTTGACTTTTCAGGTCTAGAGTTATTAGAGCCAGTATCCAAGCATAAATGGGGTGTTATTATTAACTAGACAAATTAGGAAACAGGGCACTCTTGAATTTTTGTTAGCGTTGAAAGCTAACGTATACCTATTGATGGTAAGTTTGCTTTCTGCTTTGTTTTTGCTCTTCGTAATTAGGATGAAATTTAAATATAATATTTTTTTTCCTTCCAATAGCTTTTGCCTACCAAAAAATTTTGGGAACCTGATGATTCAACAAAAGATGGACAAAAAGGCATATTTCTTGGGGATGATGAATGGAGAGAGACTGCATGGGGAACTTCTCGTAAGTTGTTGGTGTATGTGTGAGAATTCTGAATTTGTTTAATACTTGAATTTTTTTAAAACCCTACTGCCCCCAAACGATACCTTCAGAAAATTTGTGATATCTTCGAGGATTTCATGTGTCCTCATAATACACATTTTCGTATGTAAAGTCAGCCATACCTAATGGTCCACTTATTGATTAGAAATGCTTGTCACAGTAAGATTTTATTAAGTTTTATTTGAGGTTAAACTCTGATTATAAAATTCTGAATTTCCATTAAAATACAGGACACAATTTAACCATAAGAGTTTTTAAGCTTGAATTGTATCAGTGGATAGTGATCTATTAACTGCAGCTCAGACTAGCTTTATTAAACATTAGCCACACGCATAAAGGAAATAAACCCCCATAGTAAGATAGAATTCCCAGAAAGGGAGCAAACTTTGAATGTTTTTGATATCCATAGGTAACAAAGACCGAGGTCCAAGAAACTCTTAAGGGAAAAGGAATTGGAATGTAAGGAGTATAACTCATGGGGGTGACAGTATTTATTGGTAAATTACAAAACATACTTATATTCTTAAAATACTACTGATTATATTTTTAAATGTTTCTCATTAGTAAAATTTGAGATGTACATGTGTAACTTTCAACATGTATTTAACAAATAAGTTTCCGCTTTATAACTGAAAGCAGCTAATTAAAATTATTCAAGATGATCAAAGTAATATAAAATCAAGTTTCTGAAATTAATTTTATATTTTGAGTGTAAATTGCCAGGTACTTTTTTTCTCTCCAAATCATTAAGACGGTTTTAAGTCCTTTACGGTTTTAAATTTTGTTCTTAAAAGTAATTGTTAAAAAGTTAGGAAAAGCTGAAAATTTTTAGTACTGTTTGTAATCAGAATGGAAAGAGATTGAAAACTTTGCTAGATAACTAAATTAGACTAAAACAGAATTTTATTTGCGTTCAACCAATATGTAATATAATGTGCCAGATTTGGAGAATACAAAGATAAATGAGATATGTGATCCCTGCCCTCAAGGAATTTTTTTTCTGGATTTGTGTTAACCTATGTAGATTGAACTTATATAATTTAAGTTATTCAGTTATTTGGGCCAGGATACATTTTCTCCACAAAAGGCACTTTCTTTGCTAAAACAACATGCTTGAAAATGTGGTTGATACGCATGTTTTGATTTTTGTTTTGAAAGTTAAATGGTTAATTGCTTTATTTATCAGAACCAAATATTTTTAAAAATATTCCAAAGCAAAACATCTTGAGCACAGCATGGTAATGAGAGATATTTTCAAGATGAATGTTAGGGAGATATTTTTGGTATGTTGTATTTGGAAGACAACTGGTACCAACAGTAAAACATTTAAGCAACTGTGTATATATTCCTGATATATCTTTTTAGTGTCAAGTTTATAATTTTAGTTAATTCCTTGTATCACTCCCCCTCTCAACTTTTTTTGTTGTACGGACGAAATTTTGAAGATGAATATGTTTTTACCAGGAGACGTGAGAAAATTAGAAATGGATTATTTTGTTTACTGAGTAAACATTTATTGAATGCCAGACATAAAGAATTGTCATTCTATAGTTCTTTCCATGACCACAGGAGATTTTACCATACACATATTTCCTTCTCAGCTGAGCTGAATTATTTGTGATTATTAATTTCATTGTGTTCTCCTGGCACTTTTAGGCCTTTGAGCATACTGGTTTCTCTAACCAGAGTGCTTTCCACCCCCATCTTCACCTATTTTTTGCTCTCTATCCTTCATATCACTTCCTTTGGGATTCACTCTAAGACTGGGAAAAAGTGATGAATATGCTTTCTCTTCCCCATAGTATCCTGGATTATTTTTATTGAAGTGCTTTTACTCTTACTATGATCGCTTCCTGTTAAACCTATAATCTCTTAGAGTTCAGGGACTGTTGTGTTCTTAGATCCCACATACACCACAATGCTTAGCATATTGGTTCAAAATTTTTTTCTGCAAATCTAGGTGTCTTGCCTCAAATTTTTTATGTTCATATTTGCTTTCAGATAAAGTATTGCCTCTTTTATCACAAAATAAGTAGAAAAGGTATTTGTACCAGATGGATAATTTTTTTAAAAATAAATGAAAAACTTTTAGACTAGAAGGATTTTTTTTAATTAAAGAAATTTTTCTTTAATCTTTAAAAAAGGGGTCTTTAAAAAAAAAAAACTAAGTGATACTTGGTCTTAAAGACTGTGATATTACTGGCTTTTTTGAATGAACTTAGTCATCTGTGTTTATAGCACTACAGTCATGTATTCTGAATCTATCCAATACATGACTGTGATCCTGAGAAGTGCCTCCGTCAATTTAGGAGGAGTTATTTTTATTTCAGGTTTTATCTCTATAAAGTTTTTTGGTTTGAGTTGTTCTGAATTGACACTAGAACTTTTTAATAAGAGGCTTAAAAGCAGTGGAGAATTCAAATTGTTTCTATTGCCAGTGGCTTTTGAATTTGATTATTCTTCAGATAGCCTTTTACCTGCTTTTACCAGATGACTTTCTTAATCTGTATTCTCAAGAAATGTCTAAAAGGCAGTGAGTCTAAACAGATTGAAGATGTTTTTATAAAGTTTACAGTAACATTCAAAATAAAACAATATGCTGATTTTTCTTTAGTATATTGATGTGAATACATTTTGGTTAGCTTAAAAGTACAAATTTGTAATTGTTTTCTTTTTTCCAAACAGACCATTCAATGTCCCAGCCCATTATGGTACAGAGAAGATCTGGACAGGGTTTTCATGGAAACAGTGAAGTAAATGCAATATTGTCTCCTCGATCAGAAAGTGGAGGCCTTGGTGTGAGCATGGTAGAATATGTATTAAGTTCTTCTCCTGCTGATAAATTGGATTCTCGATTTAGGAAGGGAACTTTTGTGAGTATTTTGAATTAAGAAATGTTTTTAAGTTGCTGGATGGTTATTTGATTGTCTTTAAGTCAGTTTCTTATTCTGGCCCTTCCTAGAATTAAAGGTAATTTTATAGCTATTGGTGCTCTTGTTTTCTTCTCCTGGCCACTTCTTGAAATACACGAAATTATAGAACCACTGGGAACATTTATAATCTTAATCATGTTACCAAAACAATCATATTAATTAAAAAACAAAGTTTGTAAGATTAAAATTGCTTATTTGTGGTAGTACTTGATATGACAGTTAAAAAAACAAAATCATCTTTCATTAAGTAGAATTTCAATTTCACTTGTGGTGTTACTGCTCTTCTAGCACCGCTATAGTTAAGGTTGCCTTAGCCCTTCTGTTATAAATCACTGGTTTGTACTCAATTTTTTTGGCCTTTGATAAATTCGTTGACTACAAAATTAAGATTCAATGTTTTTATTGTTTACATGCACTATAGTGTAGTTTTAGGTCACCTTGTGGTGCCTTTTTTTGTGTTCTATTAAATATTCAGAATCAAACAGATTCTTTTTCCTCAGGGCACTAGAGATGCTGAAACAGATGGACCTGAGAAAGGAGATCAAAAAGGCAAGGCTTCTCCATTTGAGGAGGACCAAAACAGAGATCTTAAGCAAGGAGATGATGATGATTCTAAAATAAATGGCAGAGGTTTGCCAAATGGAATGGATGCCGATTGCAAAGATTTTAAGTAAGATTTTCACTTTCTCAAGAAGAAAATCATATCTCTGTAGGGATTATTGTTACTAGCTGATATGACTGATTTAGGTATTTTTCCAACTTTGGGTTTTTTTATTTCCCTTTGTACCTTGTATTAATCTGGAGGAAGATTTAAAATCTTTTATAAGGAGTACTAGTTAATGATTATGTGCCATTTTTTAAAAAGATAAGTCTTCAAGTTTCTCTAAAACAATCATTCCATTAAGTAATGTTAGAAGTTGCTATTACCTTTCTACTAATATGGTAGTCTAAATTTTAACTGTTTTCTCCCTGCTAAAGTTTAGTTAATTTAAGGTTTAATCTGTGATTTTTCTTGGCAAACTCTTCTTGAGTTTGCTCTTAGCACCTTTCTGTAGAGTTTTCTCTTCCTTCTATCTCTGTATTGTATCCTATCTCCCCTTTTCTGAGTTTGTGCTGATACTTAATCATATTCCTGAAATTAGGACAGGAGGAACATATCAGACTTCTAAAAATTAGTGTTAAGTTCAGAATTTAAGTTCAGTTGTAGATTTCTTGTTGTCTCTTTATGGCAAGTATTTCTTTTGTTCTAGCCTTTGGACTTAGATTAGGCAGTGCACATTCATCTAAATAATAGGGAGTTGTTTCTTCATATCCTGAACTTTATACTTCAGTAATCAGATGCTTTGGGACCTATACCTGAAAATAGTTGTTTCTTTGCGATCTTCTGAACCATGAAATATCAGTTAGTTGTTAGGTACATGTTTGTTTATTACCTTTAATTTTCAAAAAATAGAGTAACAATACTTCTTAAAAACAGTGCCATTTAAATCTGTTCTAAATGCAAAAAAGCATCCAAAACCAGTAAACCTCTTTTGACAAGAAATAAATTTAATGCTACTCAGTTTTATTTTAGAACCTTATTCTGATTTGCTCTTCTGCTGTTACCTAATCTGTGTTCAAGGGCATGCATTTAAAACTGAGTTGATTATAAACCCTGCAGAGTATACATTTATAATTGAAGTGTTAATACACCATTAACTATAGCAAGAAAATAGCACCACTCATAGCATAATGACTTTTTCTTTTGAATCCTCTACTTTTATTTTGCTGTATTAGAGTTTTGTTTGAAAGACTATATTTCTCCATATTAATATGAACTTTACATTCATTAGCATTCTAATTCCATTAAGTTTGTAGTATGTTTTTTAAATTGCTTATAAAGTATTTCTGATGCAATATTGTCTTCAACAGTATAAAAACATTTCAGAGTAATAGCTGTGGTCATATGGTCACTATGGTAGCACATCATTATTACATACATTAACTGATACATCATCTGTTGGAATAGAACTGAAAGGAGTGAAAGAAATATATCAGACTTTTGTTGTTCTTTGTTGTTGTTGGAATATGATTGCTTTACAGTGTTGTGTTAGTTTCTGCTATTCAATGAAGTGGATCAGCTATATACACACACACACACGTACAGTCTCTCTTGGACCTTCCTCCCACCTCTTTCTTTTTTCCAATGGACTGATTTTAAAGAAGATCCTTTCAGTTTTATTTTTCTTCCCATATATTCTGAATGAAAAGCCTTTGGATTATTCACATGAAAATTTTAATTGTGGATAAAGGGGAAAGGAGTTTGAAATTTCTTCTCATGTTGCAAGGACAGTGGTTAATTTTGAAATAAAATGTAAGTCCACAAACCTAAAGTATCTGGAAAACAGTTCTTGTGATTAATTGCTTTGTGAAATGTTCTGTACGTTTATTCCATTGTAAAGTACCTATAAGTGGGGCAGTTACATATGGATAACCGTTGACATTGAAAGACAGGTTATAATAGTTACTACCATTTATTTAATGTACTTATATTTGAATATACTATGAAATGATAGTTCCTCAGAACAAATTTACTTCTTGTGAAGGATAAGATCTTATATAAATTATTTCCACAGAAGGAAGGGGACTGTTAATAAGGATCACTTCTGTCCAGAAATTAAGTGAAAATAGTTTAGACTATAAAGGATGTTGATAAAAAGAGGAGAGTCGGTGCTTAAAATTTAGTGTTAATAAATTTCTTCAGAAAATTAAGACTAATCAGTAGAGAAAGTTGCTCTTTGTATATAAAATTATACTTTTCATTGATGTGCATGCTTAATTTTTGATAAATATTCATTTTTATTTATTTCTGATGATTTAAACTGAAACAATTTGGTATGATAAAGATAGTTTCTGGAGAGCTCATAGAGGGTTTTTACAAATAGTCTTTTTGTTATTATAGAACTACAGTGTCACCTCCTCTGTCTCAGAGAAACTGAGACCTGGGTGTTGAAATGATTTACTCAGAATTTAGAGTCAGGAGTCAGCTTTCTGTCTTGCTTCATTGCCCTTTTCTTTTGTATTCTGTATTATACAGTCTTTAGTTGTGAAGGCCATATGATTCTTTCTGGCCGGTCCGCCCCCGCCCCCCCCCTGAAGTATTAGGCAAGATGTTAGGACAGCTATGCTGGTAGACAGGATGGGAGTATGGTGGGTAGGTTTTGGTTTCAAGTCTTCTCATATTTGTTGCATGGTAGTCTGCTGTTCATACCTACTGCTCACTTTGTCTGTGATTTGAGACAAAAGTTTTGAGTACCCTAAGCCTAAATCGTGATATTGGACAATTTCCTTATCTGTAAAATTGAATTATATCTTTATGCTATTAAAATTTGGGGCAGTTGTCACTAATAATATTTAAAAAATGAAACCATGTCAGCTTTTAAGTGTAAGCTGGATTAAACAGAAGAAAAAAAGTGATAAAAGAGGAATGCTTAGTGACCTAGGGTCCCTAATTTGCCTTTTGTGTTTTACCGCCATCTGTTTTCCATGATTTTCCTACTTTCTGATTTCACCTTTTGACATACTTGTTACTTTTACTCATTTCTGTTTTCTTTACACAGTCGTACTCCTGGAAGTCGTCAAGCCTCTCCAACTGAAGTAGTTGAGCGCCTGGGCCCCAGTACTAATCCCCCAGAAGGATTGGGGCCTCTTCCTAATCCTACAACCAACAAACCACTTGTTGAAGAATTTTCAAATCCTGAAACTCAGAATCTGGATGCCATGGAACAAGTTGGTCTGGATTCCTTACAGTTTGACTATCCTGGTAATCAGGTACCAATGGACTCCTCAGGAGCTACTGTAGGCCTTTTTGACTACAATTCCCAGCAGCAGGTAAAGAATACTCCTCCTTTAGCGATGTTCCTCTCATCTAGTAGCAGTATAGCCTGAAGTGCTGTGAGATGTTCACATAAATAATAGGGGTATTTTTAAACTCTTTAATGTTTTATTGAATAAAATGTCCTTATTGTTGAGAAAGTGATTAAAATATGTATTTGTAATATTCCATTCTTAGCTTTCTGAACAAAAATGAAATGCTGTGAGACTAATCTCTGTACTCAATACTTTTCTTAATAGCTCTTTCAGAGGACTAATGCACTAACAGTTCAGCAGTTAACTGCAGCTCAGCAGCAGCAGTATGCATTAGCCACAGCTCAGCAGCCACATATAGGTGAGTCTTTGTAAGTTACCGTTTTAATTAGTGTTAGAAAGTCTTGTGTTAAAGTGTTTAGATCTTATTTAATGGTGTTATTTCATTACTTTCTGAAACATCTCATTGAGATAAAACAGTAGTAGATTACATGGCAAGAGTAAAGATTAGGAAAGAACAGTTTGGTGTTTATTTTACTTGTATTCTTGGTGAAATAAAAATCTGTAACTTGATGGAAGCTGTCAGCACGTAAGTTTTTTTTCTTAGTGTGAAGTGGAGAGCATTAAACACTTGGAAATTCAAGCATTGTTTTGGGTGTTCATATCAAGTCAGAGTGTTTGTTTTTGAAATGGGTTGGAAGTAAGAATCACAAGACAATTTCTTTAAATTTTTTCTTCCTTCCTTCATTAAGCTATTTAGTCTTTGAGCTTTATAGTAAAGACTATAATTATGTGAAATACTATGATTACATATGTCTTATTGGTAGAGTTCAGGCATTAGTACCTGTTTTTCTGTTGAGGTTTTTTTTTTAACTTATTTTGAAATAATTACTGGTTCACATGCGGTTGCAAGGAGGGTACACAGATTCGCCACCTAGTTTTCCCTAAATGACTACACGTTAACGTAATCAGAGTGTAGTACCACAGCCGTTGGTAAATGTGTGTGTATAGATGCCTGTCATTTTATGTGTATAGACTCATGGGAACCATTCTTACACCTGATTTTGGCCGACCTTGATTTCTTTCCACTCTCAACATCAGGATGTTTGGGGACCGGGGATGAGATAAACTAAGTTAGTTCTATTCCCTTAACTTTGTTTTGTTTTGGGTCAATCCAAGAAGTCTTTCCAGGTCCAAAATTTTATTTTCGGTTTTAATCAAAGGTGACCACATATTTCTAGATGACTTCTAAGAGCAGCATGCACTCTGGACCTGTTTTTTTACACTTTTCCCCAGCCTTCTTTATCCCTGTATATAATGCTGCTTCACTCATTGTTAGAAACATTGATTCCTGTCTACTTGTGGGCCATTACAACACTTTTTGTTTCTTGACACTTCATTGTATGATTTATATGTGGTAGGCTGGGATACCTATTATTGCTCTTTCTTTTGGTAGTTTTAAATTTTCAGCTCTTGCCTTTTCTTTCGTATGAGCTTTAAAATCCTCTTATTTACTTCCATATGCATGTGTGCTCAGTGTCCGGCTCTTTGTGATTCCATGGACTGTAGCCCACCAGGCTCCTCTGTCCATGGAATTCTCCAGGCAAGAATACTGGAGTGGGTTGCCATTTCCTCCTCCAGGGTATCATCCCGACCCAGGGATCAAACCCATGTCTCCTACATTGGCAGGTGGATTTTTTACCACTGAGCCATCTGGGAAGCCCCTGTTTACTTTCAGATCAGGTTAAAATCTTAAATTAACTTATGAAAAGTAACATCTTTATGACATTAAGTATTCTTCCAGAACCTAGTGTGTCTTTAATTTTGTTAAAGTTTGCTTTTGTGGTATTTATGAGTGCTTTAAAGTTTTTCTCATATAAGTTTGCATATTTTTCAATAGGTTTGTTCTTTGGTATTTTATCTTTTGCTATCATTGTAAATGACTTCCTGGCTTTCATTATATCTTCAAACTGGTATCTGTGAAGAAAGCTCTTGATTAGTGTTTATTAAATTTTTTTAATGCTGTTTTCTAATAACTGACTCATTCCTGTGCTCTTAGAATTTAAAAGAATTGTATATAATATTGAGCTCTTTTAATTTGCTAATTTTTTAAGGATTTTTATCAGTATATAAATGAATTTAGCCTGTGTGTGTGTATGCATTTTTTTGTTAGATTTTGATATCAATATACTTGTTTCCTAAAATAGTTTAAAAGTGTTTTTTTTTTTTAGTGCCTTGGAGTATTTTCGATTACATTTGACCTTATAAAAGATTTGGCATAAGTTAGAAACTTCTTTGTGAAACTAGGGAGACTATGCAAATAAATCTGAAAACTTGAATAGAAAGGAAATTTGTAAGAAAGTATAACTTAACAAAATGGATCCCATCTTTGTTCCATTGTTAAATAGAGTAGAGTTGATCATTAGTCCTTTTATCCAGGTTTGCTGAGTCATCTCTTAGCTGGCTGATAAGTTCATTTAGATTCAGTTCAGTTCAGTCGTTCAGTCGTGTCCGACTCTTTGTGACCCCATGAACTGTACCATGTCAGTGCTCCCTGTCCATCACCAACTCCTGACTTTACTCAGACTCATGTCCATTGAGTCGGTGATGCCATCCAACCATCTCATCCTCTCTCATCCCCTTCTCCTCCTGCTTTCAGTCTTTCCCAGCATCAGTGTCTTTTCCATTGAGTCAGTTCTTTGCATCAAGTGGCCAAAATATTGGAGCTTCAGCTTCAGCATCAGTCCTTCCAATGAGTATTCAGGACTGATTTCCTTTAAGATTGACTGGTTTGATCTCCCTGCAGTCCAAGGGACTCTCAAGAGTCCTCCAACTCCACAAAAGCATCGATTCTTCTGCACTCAGCTTTCTTTATAGTCCATTCTGTCGTTTTTGAGATTGCCTCCAAGTACTGCATTTCGGACTCTCTTGTTGCTGACTATGATGACTACTCCATTTCTTCCAAGGGATTCTTGCCCACAGTAGTAGATATAATGGTCATCTGAGTTAAATTTACCCATTCCAGTCCATTTTAGTTCACTGATTCCTGAATTGTCTATGTTTACTCTTGGCAGCTCCTGTTTGACCACTTCCAATTTACCTTGATTCGTGAACCTAACATTCCAGGTTCCTATGCAGTATTGCTCTTTACAGCTTTGGACTTTACTTCCATCACCAGTCACATCCACAACTAGGTATTGTTTTTGCTTTGGCTCCATCTCTTCTTTCTTTCTGGAGTTATTTCTCCACTGGATCTCCAGTAGCGTATTGGGCACGTACTGACCTGGGGAGTTCATCTTTCAGTGTCCTCTTTTTGTCTTTTCATACTGTTCATGGGGTTCTCAAGGCAAGAATACTGAAGTGGTTTGCTATTCCCTTCTCCAGTGGACCACGTTTTGTGAGAACTCTCTACCATGACATTGTACCAATAGAAATATGTACTCCATAGAATTTAAAATTCTCTAGTAGCCACATTTTAAAAAATAAAAAGAAATGTGTGAAATTAGTTTGAATAATATTTTATTGATCCCGTTATACTTAAAATATCTCAAATGTAATCAATATAAAACTTAGTAATAAATTCTCTTTTTTATATAGTCTTTGAAATTAGGTATGCTGTATATGGCAGTAACTACCATAGCAGACAGTGCATGTTCTAGAATAGAGGTTGACAAACCTTTTTCTGTAAAATCCCAGATAACAAATATTTTACATTTTGCCTGCCATATTTTTTCCATCACAACTACTCAACCTTCCTCTTATAGAGCAAAGCAGCCATAGACAGTACCTAAATGAGTACAACTATGTTCTCTTCAGCTTTACTGTGGGCACTGTTACTGGAATTTTGTATAATTTTCATTTGTTACAAATTACTATTTTCAACCATTTAAAAATGTTTAAATCATTCTTAGCTAATTTATACAAAAATAGGTAGTAGGCTAAAACTTGGCCCATGGACTGGACCAGAAAGAGGTGATAGATACAGTATATTTTATGTTTTAAAATGTACATCTACACTCAAAAGAGGGAGAGAAAGAGAAAAGAAAAAGATGGGGTTGTTTTGATGGCTGGAGAGTTTCTGTAGGGTAGGAAATTGAGATGTGATCCATAGGAATAAACTGGAAATAAACTATGAGGGCTGCAAGAGGGATAAATAAAATGGCCTGCTCATCCCAGGACTGGGGTTGAAGGGGTTAGATCCCCAAACCACTAATAAAGACTTGATTTGGAGACTTCACCCTACAGTGTGTATTTGTCAATTGGGATGGATAAATGTAAGAGAATCTCTCATATAAGATAGTATCTAAAACAGAAATTACAATGCAAACAACAATAGAGTTTATACCCATGATACAGAAATAAGAGAACTTTAAAGTTCTGAAAAGAATTTTTAAGTGTTTATTTAGAATATTAAGAGATAAAGGACATAAGTCATCAAAGATCAGAGGTCTTAAAACATCAAGAAAAAGTTCTGAAAAGAATTTTTTAAGTGTTTATTTAGAATATTAAGAGATAAAGGACATAAGTCATCAAAGATCAGAGGTCTTAAAATATCAAAATGATGTGAAAACAAACCATTTCAGAACCTTGTAAATAAAAACACATGGGGTGGACTGCATAATTAACTAGCTATCACCTAGGAGGAAATAGACCAGAAGATAAAACTTAGGAAATCTCTCAGAACACTGAAAAGTTACACATAGTAATCAGGATGTGGGATGGAGTAGGGAGTAACTAAACTAGTGCAAGGCTTTTTCTGAAGGCTTGAATAAATGGGGACACATGCCCTTTGTGGGAAACTCAGTACCTTAAAGATATCAATTCTCCTTAAATTTATATTGATTGGAATACCAACAGGACCTTTTTTCTTTTTTGAAACTTAAAACTTTGCTTTTGATGTTTATCTCAGAAAAGTGAAACCAGAAAGTTAATAGAACACTAAAGTGAGAGATGGACTTAGCCATATTTCAAAGTAATTATTATCTTCAGTGGTTAAAACATTGTGGCGCTGGCTTAGAAATATATAACTAGATCAGTAAACAAGAATACTGTGAAGTGAGGGTGTGTGTGTTTGGTGTGTGGTGGTAGTGTGATTTTTAGCCTTAACATTGCAAATTAATTAGAGTATCTTTGGAAAATGACTTGGAGGTAATTGGGTCATATTCTGATGGATAAGAATTTTAATGAAAAAATAGAAGTATAAAAGATCTGATAAAGTTTGTCTCTTTGATAGCCAAAGAACCATAGATTAAAACCAACTAATTTTAATACTTTATTTTACTTCTCACATTGTCAACTTTAAAAAAATTCAATAATACCCTATTTCATCTGAGTGTAGGTGGTATTCTCGTACTCATGGCAGTAGTATAAATTGGTAAAACTTTACTGGAGAGTAATCTGGACAGGTGGATGGAGATTAAATATATATGTTTCTCCATTTAAGTGAATTTTCATAAGGATATGATGATAATGTATACTTAAAGAATAATAGCATTATTAATAGCAAAAAGTGAATCATCTGTATATCTGTAGTAGACTAGTTAAATCACGTTCCTTTTATGTAGTGGGATCCAGAACTCTGCAGCTATAAATATTACTAGGAGGTTCCCCGGCAGTCTAGTGGTTAGGATGCACACTTTCACTGCCAAGGGCCAGGGTGCAATCCCTGGTTGTGGGAAATGAAGATCCTGCAAGCCAGGTGGCATGCAGCAGCCCCCTACACACACCACCAAAAAAATTAAAATGAATAGGTATCCCTTGACATGGAAAGGGATCTGTGTTTAACTGGCAAGTGAGAAAAGCGTATTAAAGTACCATTATACCCTGTAATATAAAACTTATCAGGGTGTTTGTATATATATATTCATTTAAAAATTTAGAAGGACATGTATTTATACATATGCACATATAAACATAGATTCAAACACATGTACGTGTATACATGCAAACATACGCATTTATGTGTACACACACATAATAGGCTTCCCTTGTGCCTCAGCAATAAAGAATCTGCCTGCAGTGCAGGAGATGCAGGTTCAATCCCTAGGTAGGTGAAGATCCCCCGGAGAAGGAAATAGCAACCCACTGCAGTATTCTTGCCTGAGCAATCCATGAACAGAGGAGCTTAGCGGACTACAGTCGTGGGATCGCAGAAGAGTCAAACATGACTTAGTGACTAAACAACAACAGGGGCACACACAAGCATATGGCTTGAAATCTCATATGTTGTAAATATTTCTAAGTGAATCATGTGAGTTTAAAATAAGTTTTCCCTTTTTTGGCAGAAGTTTCAGTATATATACATTGTGCTAAGTTGCTTTCAGTCACTCTTTGTGACCTTATGAACCATAGGTCACCAACCTCCTCTGTCCATGGGATTTTCAGGCAAGAATGCTGGAGTGGGTCGCCATTCCCTCCTCCAGGGGATCTTCCCAACCCAGGGATCAAACCCACATCTCCTACAGTTCCTGCATTGGCAGGCGGGTTCTATACCACTGGCACCACCTGGGAAGCCCTGATATATCCATTAGGTGAAACTAATTCCTTCTTTTTCAGATATTTGAAACCTTCCTGCTTTTTGTCAGCTTTGTAGTATAAATATGGAGAGAGCTATATTAAAATCATTTCTGAAGTCAAAAAAGAAAATTGAGAAGGCTATAAACTAATGGTCAGTAAAGGTTACATGAGGACTTTGGCTTTCCACTTTTTATACTTAAATATTAATAGTATTTTGAGTTTTTAAAAGCAGTCTTTTTTAATAATAAAAATATAGAGGGAGACGAGACCAGAGGCCGAACTCGGGATCTGACAAGATGGCCGGGCTGCCCCGCAGGATTATCAAGGAAACCCAGCGTTTGCTGGCAGAACCAGTTCCTGGCATTAAAGCAGAACCAGATGAGAGCAACGCCCGTTATTTTCATGTGGTCATTGCCAGCCCTCAGGATTCCCCCTTTGAGGGAGGGACTTTTAAACTTGAACTATTCCTTCCAGAAGAATACCCAATGGCAGCCCCTAAAGTACGTTTCATGACCAAAATTTATCATCCTAATGTAGACAAGTTGGGAAGAATATGTTTAGATATTTTGAAAGATAAGTGGTCCCCAGCACTGCAGATCTGCACAGTTCTGCTATCAATCCAGGCTTTGTTAAATGCTCCCAATCCAGATGATCCATTAGCAAATGATGTAGCGGAGCAATGGAAGACCAACGAAGCCCAAGCCATAGAAACAGCTAGAGCATGGACTAGGCTATATGCCATGAATAATATTTAAATCGCTTCTATCCTCAAGTGTGCATCACTTCTCCTGTTCTGCCAAGACTTCTTCCTTTTTTGTTTGCATTTAATGGATACAGTCTTAGAAACATTACAGAATAAAAACCCAGACGTCTTCAACCCTTTGGTGATTAAATGCACATTAGCAAATCTATGTCTTGTCCTGATTCACTGTTGTAAAGCATGAGCAGAGGCTAGAAGTACCATCTGGATTGTTGCGAAACATTTAAAAGCAGTGGCGCCTCTCTGCTTTTATTCATTTCCCCCATCATGGTTTAAGTATAAAGCACTGTGAATGAAGGTAGTTGTCAGGGTTAGCTGCAGGGGTGTGGGTGTTTTTCTTTATTTTATTATTATTATTTTTTTTTGGTGGGGGGAAGGTAGTTTTATTTTAATTTTATGGGTTCCTTTCCCCCTTTTTATGGTGATCTAATTGCATTGGTTAAAAGCAGCTAACCAGTTCTTTAGCCTATGCTCTCTAGCCAAGTCTAACTTTATTTAGACGCTGTAGATGGACAAGCTTGATTGTTTGAGCCAAAATGGGAACATTAAACAGACATCACAGCCCTCACTAATAACATTGTGACCTTACTGTCAAGTGTAGAATCCTCCCTTCAAGAAAAAGCTTGTGACCATTTTGTATGGCTTGTCTGGAAACTTCTGTAAATCTTATGTTTTAGTAAAATATTTTTTGTTATTCTAAAAAAAATATATATATATATAGAATATAAAGTTAGATCCTGACTTTTCAATTTGTAGTTAATAGGAGTAGAACATGTATATCAAAACATCTTTATTCTTGTCGTGATCATCAAAAAAGCAAGAGAGTTCCAGAAAAACATCTATTTCTGCTTTATTGACTATGCCAAAGCCTTTGAATGTGTGGATCACAATAAACTATGATAAATAAAATTCTGAAAGAGATGGGAATACCAGACCACCTGACCTGCCTCTTGAGAAACCTATATGCATGTCAGGAAGCAACAGTTAGAACTGGACAAGGAACAACAGACAGGTTCCAAATAAGAAAAGGAGTACGTCAAGACTGTGTATTGTCATCCTGCTTATTTAACTTAAATGCAGAGTACATCATGAGAAACGCTGGGCTGGAGGAAGCACAAACTGGAATCAAGATTGCCGGGAAAAATATTAGTAACCTCAGATATGCAGATGACATCACCCTTATGGCAGAAAGTGAAGAAGAACTAAAGGGCCTCTTGATGATAGTGAAAGAGGAGAGTGAAAAAGCTGGCTTAAAACTCAACATTCAGAAAAATATGATCATGGCATCTGATCCCCATTACTGCATGGCAAATAGATGGTGAAACAGTGTCAGACTTTTATTTTTCTGGGCTCCAAAATCACTGCAGATGGTGACTGCAGCCATGAAATTAAAAGATGCTTACTCCTTAGAAGGAAAGTTATGACCAACCTAGACAGCATATTAAAAAGCAGAGACATCACTTTGTCAACAAAGGTCCATCTAGTCAAGGCTATGGTTTTTCCAGTGGTCATGTATGGATGTGAGAGTTGGACTATAAAGAAAGCTGAGTGCTGAAGAATTGATGCTTTTGACCTGTGGTGTTGGAGAAGACACTTGAGAGTCCCTTGGACTGCAAGGAGATCCAGCCAGTCCATCCTAAAGGAGATCAGCCCTGGGTGTTCATTGGGAGGACTGATGTTGAAGCTGAAACTCCAATACTTTGGCCACCTGATGCGAAGAGCTGACTCATTTGAAAAGACCCTGATGCTGGGAAAGATTGAGGGCAGGAGGAGAAGGGGACGACAGAGGATGAGATGGTTGGATGGCATTGCCTACTCAATGCACATGGGTTTGGGTGAACTCTGGGAGTTGGTGATGGACAGGGAGCCCTGGCATGCTGCGGTTCACGGGGTCACAAAGAGTCGTACACGACTGAGTGACTAAACTGAACTGAGCTGAATCACAGTAGAGGCACTAGAGGGAAATCTCGAAAGCCTTTGATGTAGGGCATAACTAAGAATGCAACTTTGAGCAAATGATTTTTTAAATAGTGCAGGGATTTAATTGAACCCTGTCTTTTATTCAAATGGCCATGTGTTGCCTGGCCATGAAGTCAGTATTGTAGGTTGTGGCCATTATTTGTTAAAATTGGCAATTTACTTTAGAGTGCATTGAAATTTCATAAGAGTAAACATTTTTTTGAGATTTTTGTTTGTGGCATTTGCGTGTGTGGATGCTAGGTCCATGTGAAATAATATTTTACATTGTGCGTCACAGTCCAGAAACATGAAAACCACTGTAATATCATAATCATAAAAGTTATTTTATGTCCTCTTGCTTTTTATGCCTATATCCATCCCCCACCATCTTTTCAACTTGAGCCTTTTTGAGCTCCTTTAACTTTAAACATGTTCTCTTTAGCTATTTCCTACCTTGTACTTCTCACATTTACTTTCCAGAAGAGGAAATTCTAGCATAAATCTTCATTAGCCTCCTTTACCAAATCTATATTGGCATATATTAGACTCAGAAGTGGATTTATTCTCCTACTTAAAACTCACTATTTTTCTTTTACTTTCAGAGTAAAGTCCCAACTGCTTAACATGACCCAGGAAACTTCATGAGTCTTCATTCTGATATGGCTCCAGTTTTATCTTACTACCACTCCATACCATCCTACCAAAAGCTCCTTTGACATCCTGTCTTTCTGTGCTCATAGCACTTACACTGTATTCTGCTTGTTTTTCTGACTAGATTGTGATTTGTGAGGGCACATCATATCTGTCCTCCTCAGTGTTGAATGCCTAGCTCATAGTTGACCTAATAAAGATTGAATGAAAAACCACTATTGAACAATAGTAGTTCTAGCTCTAAACATTTATTGTGTGCCTGTTATGTGCTAGTACTATACAATCATTTATATTTAATTTGAACAGAATTTACTGGTTATGTGCCTGTTGCATACATGAAGAATCCCAGAACCAGTTTGTGTTATATACTCAAGGTCACTTAGGTAATAAGAGTTAGAATCATCATATACTGTCTCCTCCCCAACCCCAATTTCAGAATAGAATTTTTTTTCCTAATGAAGAAAATCATGCATATGTTTTTATTATTTCTCTCTCTTTCAAATATAGCTGGTGTATTTTCAGCAGGCCTTGCTCCAGCTGCATTTGTGCCAAATCCATATATTATTAGTGCTGCTCCTCCAGGGACTGATCCATATACTGCAGCAGGATTGGCTGCAGCAGCTACATTAGCAGGTAACTCACTGTTCATACTTGTTGCTTATTCTGGATTTAGTTTTAATTTGGGGGTAAGCTTTACTTTTGTCTATTGGGGCAATTTGAAGTTCCTAGGGAAAACGGAAACATATCCAGAGTGAAATGAAGTTTCCAAAGTTAGTTTATTTTTTAACTGTAACGCTACAGGAGAAAACCTAAGTCTGATAACTCTTTTCCTCCTGGGCATAGTTGGTTTATATTTTAGTTTCATAGTTTTCAAAAATCTTAATTAGCAAATCTTTATTCTTGTAACTGATCCCATTTACCCACAGAGACAGTGCAAATAAAGTTACTTCTCAGAAAATAAGCTGGACACTCACAGGTGTCTCTATCGCAGCTATCCCTAGGTCAGGAATAGTAAATACCCAGATCAGGAATAGGACAAGGTAAAGAGGTTCAGTCTTGAGTGAATGAGTATCTAAAAAGTAAAGTTTAATTAGCAATATTAGAATAAACAGGCAAGCTGAGGGATGAAAAGATGGGATTGAGTTGGAAAGAACATATTAGTAAATGTCAAAGCCTGATAACTGCCACTCAAAATCTGGACTAAAAAACAGAAGTACACAGTGTCACGTGTCAATTGTATTGCACTAAAGCTGAAAAAAAAAATTTTTTTTTAACCAAATTGTATTTCCCATTTAAGTAAGGAAGACTTGTGTACTGGTTTGGCACAATATTATTGAGCAAAGTGATTTGTTGTCTAGGGTTTAGAAGGAGAAGTTGTTTTACATTGAGTAAGTTATAGAGACAGGAATGAATTAGCCTTAAGCATGATTTATGTTGGTTACCAAGACAGGAGCAGGGAGATATAAACAATGGAAGTGTGTTTCCTTGGTTGAGGCTGCTGATTGACTAGCTTTTCATAACTTGAAACTGTCAGTGATAAATTCACTGAATTAACACTGATCAATTAATGTTATATCTGCTTTTGGTAGTTATTTATTATCATGCCTACAGAACAGGTATTTTTTTCTTAAGCATTTGTGGGTTTCTTAGGTATCTGTCTACCTTTTTTTAATACACAAGAATTTTAAGACATGGGGGAAAATGTTAATTTCAAATTCCTGCTGGATCCCTTAGTTAGCCAACTGAAACTAACCTGTCACAATGAGTACTTTTGGTGTAGATCTGCCTGTGCTTCCATAAGGATGTGAGCTTTCCTGGTACCATTTAACTGGATGTTAATGTGTAAAGTGCTGGTGTAGCTTAAGTACAGAGAATCATTAATCTGTGAATCTGTGGAACATGAAAGAAGCAATTTAAGTGATGATTAGTTTCAAGATAAGGATTCGTGGCATTCTGGACTTACTTAGACTTTCTGAGATCAGCACTGTCCAGTAGAAATAGAACGTGAGCCAGATAATGTAACTTAGATTTTTTTTCCCTAGTAACCATATTATAAAAATAAAATACATGAACTTAATTTCAGTGATCTGTTTGGTTTAACTATTGATTATTGATAGTTTTTATAGATAGGTACTTTTTTATTGGTAGTTTTTATTGATAGGTACTTTTTTTAAATGCCAAGTCTTCAAAATCCCCATAGTAAGATGTGTTAGAACACATCTCAGCTCGGGCTATTCAACTTTCAACTGTTTAGCCACAGGTGACTTTTGACTGCTTTTGGACAGAGAAGTTCTAGCTGGATGTCTGATTCTTTTTGTTTTGTTGTGACAGTGTATCCTTTCTTCATAAATCCTTTTCTTATGTTTTAAGAGTCTTTATTGTAGATTTTGCTTAAACTGTCTTTGAATTTTTTTTTAAGCTTTTCATGTTAGCAGTTCAGTTACACCAGGCTTTATTTTCTTCTAAAACAAAGTGAAACCAAGAGTTTGACTTTGTAAAATACACGTTAGCTACACTAATATGCAATGCTTCCCTAGTAGCTGAGTTGGTAAAGAATCTGCCTCCAATGCAGGAGACCCAGATTCAGTTCCTGGGTTGGGAAGATCCCCTGGAGAAGGAAATGGTAATCCACTCCAGTATTCTTGCGTGGAGAATCCTATGGACAGAGAAGGCTGGCAGGCTGCAGTCCATGGGGTCGCAAGAGTTGGACACAACTTAGCGACTAAACCACCACCACCGCCACCAGATACACTAAAACCATATCAGTGGAATTTAGGACATGTTTGTTTTATCAGCAAGGAAACATGACATGTTAATTATTAATTTAATGGCAAGTCTTATTTTGTGTGATACTACATACTGACCAGAAATTAAGTTTTATCTTGGATAAAGTAGATAGAGCAAGAATTTACTGTTTTTTCCTGCGTTGCTTTCTTATGTCTGTGTCCCTTTATGATTATATAATATAGTTCATTCTTGTCTTAACTTACTGGTTCCAGTTTCCTAATCACATAAGCACTGACATTTCATTTGTTTTTATGTGATTTTCACTTGCTTTGTGACAGTTGTAACTGATTTTGTTTCAGATATGAAAAATATTTTAAAATTCTGTTTGCAAATAAAATATACTGTTAGCAAGCTTAGTACCAAAATGTTCCCTAATTTTATGTTATATTTTACAAATTAAAAGCCAAAAATGTTTTCAGTTAAAAAAATTCCTTTTTCAAAAGAGTGATGAATTGAATATAGGAAATCTTTATGTTGTCTAATGTTCCTATTTGCCAGTGTCAGGTGCAAAAACTAGCATTCAATAGCTGTTGAAAAGGTGATTAAGTGTTCTGTTAGTTCATTTGTCCCTCTTGAGTTTAGTTTTCTATCTTTTTATTAATACCACCTCTTTTCATTAATGTCACCTCTGAATACTTTCTTTTTTTAATAATCCATGCCTCAGTAGGCTGTCTCTAGTAGAATTGGGAAAGGGGAAAGCAATTCCATGTGGATATAGGATTGTAAGGACATCTACTCTAAGTCTAATGCACTGTTCCTTTCTTTATGATCTAATGGTAACTGACCAACCTTATTCTATAAAATGTAGTGACTTTTTTTAAATTTTTTTGGGGGGGTGGGATGTGGGGTTTAGGTCCGGCAGTGGTTCCACCTCAGTATTATGGTGTTCCGTGGGGGGTGTATCCAGCCAATTTATTTCAGCAGCAAGCTGCAGCTGCGGCAAACAACACAGCAAATCAACAAGCAGCATCACAAGCTCAGCCTGGACAGCAACAGGTATAGGCTTGCCTTCATTAAATAATATCTAAAGAGTCTTTGAAGTTGTATGAGCCCCTTGCATTCAAGATCTGTGTTTTTTCTCTGTTTATTTTTCCCAGTGTGTTTAGCATAGTACCTATCATATAGTTGGTACACAAGTATTATGGGTTTTTTTCCCTCTAGTTCTAATTATGTGAGTTTTAATATTTAGTTTATTCCACTTCTACATTTCTGTTTTTGAAACTGTCTTGAAATCTCTTAACAGTTTTTAATTTTTTCTTCACTTTTTTTTTTTCACTTCTTGAAGTGTACTCACAGTGTTTCTATTAAAGTGACTGTCAGTTCATTTCCTTCTGGATATTTAAATTACTGTTTTAAATATTAACTTATTTCTGACCAGAAAAAGGAGGTTACTGGGTTCTTTGTTTTTAAGCAAGGAAAGATGAAATATTTTCAGTAAAGGTTAGATTTAGTTTCTTAAAACAGAAAATGTTTATCTTGAAGATTTTGTTCCCAGTTTCTGCTTTCCTGAACCTATTTTTGTAAATAAATGTCAAAGTAAAATTCTGATAAAAGTGCCAGAATGCTGGTTGTCAAATTTATCATACTTATACCAAAGAAGCAACTTAATGACAAGTACAGTGTTTGTTACTTGGCAGTTGAATTTTCTTTTTAAACTATGTTGATGTTCTGTTAAAGCTGTCCTTTGACTCAGTCCTTGTAGATTATACCATAGCACCATTTAATACTCTTAAAATCTGTTTTCTTCGGCTAAACAAATAAATCACATTGCCTATACATTACCCATACTTGTGGCATGATGCTTGCTTCCATGGTTGGACTTGAGATGAATCCCCCTTGTCCTGAACTGTTGAAGTATTTACCTTTGTGAAATTAATGTGTATCATGGTTGTGTTTTATCACTGTAAGAAGAGCTGTGTATTATGAAGTAGTAAAGTTTGACCATTCTTAAGAGTTTACACATTTTTTGATGAAATCTTTGTTCCTGTTTTCACCCTAAGATTTGACAGTAATGAGCAGCTTTTTGCTCACTTTATTAAAGCTTCTAAATGCTAAAAACTGGTTAAATTTGAAGTTTTCACTCTGCATCACAGTCTTGTAAGAGACTAATTGAATCGTCATTTAACTTACAGTTTTCAGTCTTAGAATATTACAGAATTTAAACTTTTTTCTTCATCTAAACTTTTGCCCTTTCTCCCCAAATATCTCTCTCATTTTAATGCTACTTTGGTAAGTTAAAGATCACAAACACTAGAAATAATTTTTTGTGAAGACCTTATAAAATCTCCTTGTTGCTTAATAGATTATGTTCTTGAATTACATAATTTGTACTTTTTAATGGTAAACTGACATTTCTTTGAATGTAAATATGTTCAAAGAATACCCAAAGGCTTTCTGCAATATAAAGTTGTCCAAGATAAATTAATTTGTTATTTTCTAATATCGTTTCTAAGGAAATCATTTGTCCTTTGTAGGTTCTCCGTGCTGGGGCAGGTCAGCGCCCTCTTACTCCCAATCAGGGCCAGCAAGGGCAGCAAGCTGAATCACTTGCAGCAGCAAATCCAACTTTGGCTTTTGGTCAGGGTCTTGCTACCGGCATGCCAGGTATATAGTTGGTTGATTGTGGAAATTTGGATAGATTTAAAAGGTTTAAAGTAGATTGTCACACCGAGGAGTGGGAAAAATCAACACACCTTAAAATCCTACACTGCAATAAATTATTTAGAACTCAGGTGCCAATAGGTGAAATCAGTATCTTTTGTGAGACTTAATGACAGGGATGACAAATGTACATTAGAATTCTCAAAGACATTTTTTATTAGTCTGCTTATAGTGTGAATCATAGCATCTTTCTAATGGAGCGTAGCTCAGAATTCTTAATGCAGTGCTTTAAGAAATAAAACCATTTGTTAGCATGTAAGACAAAACCTATTTGCCATTCCTGCCTTACAAGGTTAGTCATTTAATTAGTTAATGTTGAGAAATGTACATTTTCCACTTAGGACTTAGTTCAGCCTTATTTAGTACATTTATAGTATTTTAATCTATTGATATTTAAAACCTAATGGCATCAGTATTTAGTAAATTTTCTCCCCGTTGCTGCAGTACAACTTTTAGAAAAGACCAGCAAAATACATTTTTTGTGAAGTTAATTTGTGTGAAAATTACTACTCTAATAATGAAAGATGGAAGGTATTTTTCTTAAGCTAATAAAGTGGCACTTGTTAATGTTTTTAAAGTGAAATTTAAAGGTTACATTTGAATGTCTGTAGATAATGTATCACCTGTTCTATTCCTTCATATCTCTGCACTCCTAAAGACCCACTTTTCAGCATGCTGTTTTTTTACATTTAGTATAAGAGTACTCCTTTAACTATGTAGAGTACAGCTGACGCTTGAACAACCACCGGTTTGAACTGTGTGGGTCCACTTGTTGTTGAATCTTTTTCAGTAACGATGTACTATAGCACTACAGTCTGTGGTTGATTCAGTCCTGCAGGTGCAGAATAGTGGGTGTGGAGGGCTGACTGTAAAGTTAAATGCAGATTTTTAGTTGCACAGAGGGTCAGTGCCCCTAATACCTGTGCTGTTCAAGAGTCAACTGTACTTATTAATGAAATACATGTTCCAGTTTCATTTAATTGTGCTGTAGATGAATTTTCTCTTCAGATCATGTAGGAGATGTGTTTAATGCATTGGAGAAGGTCCTGACTTACATGATTCGATGGTTTTTTAATACGCTGCTAAGTATTTCTTTATATTGTTTTGAGGAATTCTGTATCAGTTACATTCATTCTGTTCTCTCTGAAATTCTAAGGTCAGAATTTACCGTCTTGTTTAGCCTACTGAATGAAAAAGGATGTTAATACTGTCTCTGAAGTACAAATGATAGTAGAACAGGGCTATTCTCGTTATTTTCCTTTTTTACCCCAGCTACATCTTGCTTCATGGAAGCTACTGTCCCAGAGCTGTTGTAGATTAGAGACCTGGCAAAAGCAGCTCTTTGTGAAATGGACTGTGAAGCTAAAATTACAGGCACGTGTAGGGATGGAACAAAGCTAAAAAGAACTGAACTGGGAGTTTATGAAAGCCCCTGCTAAGACTGTTCTGGGTCCCTCTTGTTTCTTAGCTTAAATAGGAAAGGGAGAAGAGTACAGAGTACCATAGTCCTGCCTTACTAGATTCTAAGTAGGACTGTGATTTAAGAGAATGCTTCTGGCTTGTGTATATTTGCTACTCCCTTTTACTGTTGCTAATTTTTTTTTGACTTTTGATGCTGGTCCTATCATTTACTTCCTATAAATGCCTTTGCTCCTGTTTCTCATGTTCAGCTCATGTTCTTGTTGACTTAAAAAAAATCAAGGTATTTTGCTATTAATTTTATCAACTTTATCAATTTTATTAACTTTATCAACAAATAATATCAACTTTGCTATTTATCAAGTTAATTTTATCAACTTTTATCAACTTGGCTATTAAGTTTATCAAAGTTGATAAATTTATCTTCTCAAAATTTATCTTTATGTTCACTTCCATTCTATAAGAAAGCACTTTTTTGTTTTGTTTTGTTTTGTTCACCAGTGAACTCTATGTTGGTAATCCTAACAAAACCATATTTTACAGTATATTTGTCTATAAAGAATTGACTATCTTTGGAGTGATGAGAAATTTAAAAGCAGGTAAAACTTTTAGGAAGAAATCAGGTTATTTTACCTAATCTACTGAGCCACAACATTTAGTTCCTTTATGACTATAAATGTAAAAATCACTCTCAAAAAGGGCTTTACTAGAATTAATATTGTTGTTCCTAAGTGATGTGTTGATTGTTTATATCATTCTCTCACTATGAAACTTTTCTCTGTCTTCTGTACTTCATTCTGCCCAGGACTATGATGAAATAATTCTCCTTTATTCAAATAGTTACATAGTTATAAAATTTTATGTGCTAATAGAGGAGCTTGCTTAAGAAAATTGATGTTTTTCTTCAAATCTCATAGAATTCTTAGCTTTTTCACATTCTGTGTTTCACTTCTCATCCATTAAATCCCTATTCCTTGTACTATGTTGATTATAGACTTTCAGTCCTTCTGCATGACTATATATGCTATCCATTGTTTCTTAGTCTTACATTTTCAGTCTTTATCCCTCTGCCACCTCCTTTTCTATAACCACTATAATACTAGTCTGCCTCTTCATCGTAAAAAACTTTCTCTCTCATGCTCCCCTCTTACTCTGTTGATCCCTTTCAGAACTTACATTCTGACACTGCTTTTTTAAGCCCCGCCTCCACGATTCTTTTTCAGTAGTTCTAATGTAACTCAGTGCCAGAGTATGACTTCCTGTCTTTATCCTAATTTTTCTTCATTCTTCATTTTCTTGGTTGTATGTCTAACTTTGTGAAACTCCTCTCCACTATGTTTGTGTGATATTTTACTCTCCTGGCTTTCCCATCTTTCTTATTGCTTTTTGTCAGTCTTCCTTTCCTCTGTATATCAATTAAACGTAAATGACAGTCTAGTCTAGTGACTAGATGCTTTTGGAGTCAGATCTGCCATGTTACTCTGCCACTTGATTGTGTGACCTTGACCATTGACCAGTTCTCTTTCCTCTTTGAACCTCAGTTTCTGTATTGGAAAAATAGAGATGCTTTATATACTTCCTGTGGGAGAATCTTAACTGGTTTCACTTTTCACCTGTCATTCCTGTGCCAGTACACCAAGTGAGTTTACATCTGCATCTTGTATTCTTTTCTGAACACATAACACATTATTACCTTTGTACAAAGTATTGCCATGTGTATGTTCCTGCTGTTCCCTTAAACTGAAAATTTCCCAAAATGAACTCACTTCTCCCAAATTTGCTTATCTTACTGTTTACCCTATTTCACTATTAACTTCCTTCTCTTCTTGAGCTAGAAATTTTTTACTTCATCCTCAGAGTCATCTTTAAGTCTTAATTTCTTCTATGCCCACATTCAATGACTTGCCAATTCTTGGTTATTCTATCTCATGTCCACTTCTTTTCATCTCAGCTGTTCTTGTTCAGCCTCTCCTATGTCCTCCCACTAACTCTGTAAGCCTCTAGTCTCTTCAGTTTATTTCATCTTTTTATTCTTTTGGTTTCCTTTCAAAGTTCCAGGTTAGTTTATACCATTCTGGTTGCTAACATTTCCATTAATCGAGCTCCAAACTACTTTTTAAACTCATCAACAGTGTCCTGGTTCTATACTTCAACATACTAGACCACAGACTGTTCCACAAACATTCTTTTATGCTTTTAGCTCTAGCCAACAATTTTCCTTTAGCATACCTTTTTATAAATTTTAAGCAAAATTAGGATATATAGTTTTACATTTTCCTTTTTAAAACCTTGCTTTATACTTGTGATTAACTTTCTTTTTTGTCTTTTAATATGATCCTTTTCATGAAGCCTTTCTGAATCTTTCCCAGTGCTTGTTCATGAATAATTATTCCTTCTGGGACTTCCCTAGTGGTCCAGTCATTTCAGACTCAAGTGTTTCCAATGCAGGGGGCATGGGTTTGACCCCTGGTTGGGGAACTAAAATCCTGCCTGCCATGCGGCATGGCCAAAAAAAGAAAATAATAATCATTTCTGCTTTTGTCATTCTTGTGGCACATAACTTGCTCCCTTCTTTAGTACTTCTGTCTGCCTTGTGTTTCATTTAGCTGTTTGTGATCTGTTAATTATTTTAGCGTGTTTGGAGGTGGAAAATGTCTTAAAGTGAAAGTTACGTATTTCTCCCTAAGGAAAGTTATTTGATCAATGTCAGGTCTGCAAATAAGTGGCACTTTAGGATTAAAAATACACTATGTTACCTTCTCTATGAATTGTGTAATTCTTAAGTGTGAGGAGTGTGTCTTCTTTAGTGTCTTGTGTTTTATCAAGCTCTTTAAATAACAAAGATAGTATAATAGAAATTAGAAACTTTTGAACTGATTATGAAAATGCTGCATATTTAAACTTGTTTACTACACCTAAAAACAAAACATAAAAGAGGAGTATATTGGCCTTTTCTTTTTAATTGAAATATAGTTGATTTACAAGGTTGTTAGTTTCAGATGTACAGCAGAGTGATTCAGTTATATGTGTATATTCCTTTTCAGATTCTTAAAGGCCATCACAAAATAGTATAGTTTTCTGTGCAACACAGTCGGTCCTTGTTAGTTATCTTTTTTGTATGTGGTGTATATGTTAATCTGAAACTATTCTGTTCCCTCCTTTCCCTTTTGTAACTATAAGTTTGTTCTCTGTGTCTGTGGATCTGTTTTTGTTTTGTACATAGATTTGTGTCTTTTTTTTTTTTTTTTTTTAAGATTTCTTGTCTTTCTCTATCTGGCTTACTTCACTTAATATGATAATCTCTAGGTCCATCCATGTTTTTGCAAATGGCTGGAGTATATAGGCTTGAATACATACATTAGAAAATAAGTTTCTATCTGGGAACCATAAAATGAAGAAAATAAATTCTAAGAATTAAAGAAGGAAATGAAATAATAAAGACCAAAACTGATGTAGATGAAATAGATGACAAATATACAATTAAAAAGGTCAAGTTATCCCAAAAGTTGCTTTTTTAAAAAGAC